TTGTCTTCTGTGACCATATTCAAGTACTATATTGCCACCAAAACGGAAGCCTGTGATACATTTGACCTACTAATGTTATCATCTTATACACAGAGACCTAATTTGGGACTCTGAACAGTAAGCTAGCTTCATATACAAAAAACCTGCCATATGATGCACAGGGAATGGATATATATAACATACGGTGCAAGAAAGTCACCTGGACAGATATGGATTCAAGTCACTGACATCTTTTTTGGCAAACCCACTATCAGTTTGGTGTTTGACAGCAAAGTTTAGTTAAATATAATTTTGTGGCCTACATAAATGCATATACAGTTGAAAACATTTTGAAGCTGCAGTAGGTAACTTTTATAAAAAATAACATTTTGTTCATATTTGCTGAATGTCCTGACAGTGGTACATGAGACAGATATTTAGATTATTTTTTTAGAAATGTTACCTACTGCAGCTTTAATATGATAAACAATAAATGCTATATCAAAATTCAGTTTTACTTCTCTTTGAAGGTGGCATTGTGATTATAAAGTGCAACAATGATTTACTCTCAAACTACAACAACAAATTTAAAATACAAATAGGGTGACTGGTTAACTTAATAATTTTTATCTTCATGTGTATGTACTTCCATTATAAAAAATCAGCACTAATGCTAATCATAAACTAAATAAAAAGGAAATGGATTCTTTTAGGAGCGTGGCACGGCATATTCACCAATTGTGTTGTTGTTTATATTACTATTGAGTTTTTTAATCCATTAGGCCTAAGCTTGAATAACAGTTTGTGTCCCAGTTTGACAGTAGCATCTAGGAAATGGTGTTTTTGGTGTTTGAGGAATTGTCATCCATCCAGTGTGACGCCTAAAGTAAATTATCAGAAGGTTTACCAGTATTCTCCCTAAGAATTTCGTTTGTGCTCTTGTGAAATGCATAGAATAACAACATACTTCTGTCTGCAGTAATGAATGGAACCGCACTGTGGTAAATGGCACCCAGTGGTTTAATGGTGACAGCAGCAAGGGCATACAGGATATCTCAATAATTCAGTAAAGATATAGTGGATTTTACTATGTTTTCTATGTTATTAAAGGTGAAACGTGAAAGTGTTTTACAAGTGTAAGAATCAAATTTAAATGAAGAACATGAGTTCTGTAGAATAATCTGCTATTTTACAAAATTAAAAAAAAAACTTATAATGCTGTACTGTATCTATTACTGTATCCTTTTTAATTTAATATTACATTTCGTAACACTCTAGTCACGAGCACACTAGCTCTTATAGTTGGCCTTTATGGCAAAACCATATCAAAAATGAATTTGATTTCAAAATTGGGTAAGTCAAACTTTTGATTTGCAACAATCCTGAGAGACATAGATACAATAGTTGCAGAAATGGGAAGAGGGGCATAGGAATTTAGGAATTTTCTACTAAAAAGACCAAAAGTAACCATGGAAGGTCCCCTCTTGGTTGTGTAACTCAGACTAATGAGCCTCATTTTAACTTGAAGCCCTTATAAGGAACTGGTTTGACTAACTATACATCTCTCTAACTATAACTATGTATCTTCGGTAATGGTCTAGTTTGTTTATATAGGTCATATATATCAGGTATCAGGTCAGGAATTATACTACAGCCAGTGCTGTGGATGTCCTCTGTGTGGCCATAATGCCCCATCCCAAAAAAACTACCCACATGGCCAGTTTGGCATTGCCCTGTTTTGAACTCGCTGGTGTTACCCTAAAAATAATGTACATTTTTGATTTCCTCATTAAACTGCGATGCAGCAAATAAACAAAGTCACATTTCCCAAAGTCTGTCATCACGCTAGACATCAACAGTAGCCCGAGATTTGTCCCACAAATATATTTGTAACCAGAGACATTAATTACACTGTAAAAAAAAAAACTACGTAAACTTATGGGTTTTTCCATTTATTTTGCAGATTTTTTATTGATTTTTTAAATACATGGAAATATTAATAAAATTAAAAAATGTCTAATGTAAAATAACGTGAAAAATCTGTAAAATCTGTAGTGCTTTATATTTTTTCATATAAAAATACATTTGCATATCTAGACATATTTCATAATATTTACTGTTTAATAGATTAAACTGATACATTTAAGTTTAAAACTGTTAATACATTTCTAAAATTATATAAAATGAAAAAAGTATTTATTCTGTAATTTTACATGGATTTGTTTGTTGATTGACAGATATCTTGTATTATAGAAATTTTCACAACAAAAACGTTGAATAAATGTTTTTTATCAGTGTATAAGCCTTGGTACTGTCGAAAATCTGTTTTTATCACTAAAAACAGCTATAATTATTGTAATTTCACAGATGGTGTGATTTATTACATATTTACGGTGTAACGTTGTTAGCATCTTTTATATATTGTTACACAGAAGAATAGTTTTGTTTCTTTAGTCAGAGTGAGTGTGTAGATCTAAGCTCTAATAAAAGGAATCTGTTTATGCAACGTTACATCTTCTTGTACTCTTTACAGCAGACTGTGAAAAGCTAACTCTACAAAAATTGGCCTTGCCCCAAAAATGACAGGTCTGCAGTGTGAAATTGAGATTGTTTCATAACCAGTGAAAAACTCGTTGTAGGTTTAAGCATTAATTTTAAACAGAATGAGGATTATGACTTTGTCCCCCATCTCTTAGATTGGAAAGGATCTTTTAATGGACAGAAGGAATGATTACAGTAGTGTTTTTACATATTGTCACTTACGTACTGTTTTAAAATACAGTTTAAAAAAGCAAGTTTTCCTGTTAGATACAAGATGTCTCCTACTTCACTGTAAAGTCCATTCTCAGTGTATGTGCACTGGTGGCCTCAGGTTTCTACATCACATTGTACAAGTTGCATACTGGACCAGCATGGACTTCCAAACTATTTTTAAACTACTTTAAAAATCAGATTTTCAGTGAGCACAGAGAAACTTTTCACTTTCAGCAGATGAATGTGAAAACATCCTTCTAGAGTCAAACTCTGCACAGACAGCATTCAAACAGCACACTGTAGGGACAAGAAGAAACCCTGCGATTTCTGACTGGAGCTTCAGCTCATTGTTCATGAGAAGTAAACAAGTCACAGACTAGAGAAAAGGGAAACGATAATGTCACATTCCTATATCTCAGATATATATCTCAGATGCCTCTGCTGTGACTAGCAAGGTATGTCTGTCAGTGTTGGAGATGAATTGATGTGAAGTGTGAAGAAAAGGACTATTGGCATATGTACTCAGACTATAAATGATGTTCCTGAGGAGAGTGTATCTGTTTTCTGTGTTTCAGAGTTAGAGATTACAGGTGGCTGTGTTGTTCTCAGGTAAAGCTTATGCCTGTTGGTGTCTGGAAAATAATAATAGCTGCCAGTTGCTTTGTTAAGACTAGGGTAAAACCTTAGCACTGATCAAACTAGATGTTAACTAGTTCAAGTTGTCAACATGTTGCTCAGTAACCTCCATAGATTCTTTTGTTCTTGAATGTATAGTTTGCAGGAATCCATAGAGGTCTTATAACATCAGCAGCCATTATAACACCACAATGGGAATCTATGTATTCACATACTCTTCAAAGAGCACTCAAGATTCAGTTATAAATACGCCTGATTGATGCAATTTGACAGTGTAAGTCTGTCTGTTTGTGCAAGGTGATGAAAAGATCCAAAATGGTGTCTTTAGCTTCCATGGTTGTCATGTTCTATGGATTAAGATGTTCTCCCAATGATAAGCCAAACTGAATCTACCTATCAGTGATGAAATGAGTTCTGGGTAATTGAGGTGTTCGGACACTCTAGATGGCTATCAGTCTGCGGTGAAGCAGTTTTTTGGCCAAGATTCTGGTAATTACAATTTATCTGGATTAGCAAAAACCTCAGAAATAAGAAGTCGCCGTTTCCCGGCTCTCAGTGCTCAATTTCCCCACAGCTCCCTGAGAGAATATCGGAGCAGCGAAAGAACACGACTGAATGTCTTGAGTTGCGGAGGTTCACGACTGTGCAGCAGTTTGCATGGGCAGCTTCAACATGTTTTGTACGGGAAAACCCTGGTGGACAGAGAAATTGTAGTGATTGCTGAAGCATTGAAGAATTGAAGATACTCTTAATCAGGTGAAACAAGGTAAGGGACCTCTTTAACTCATTAAAAATGTAAATATTAATTGTTTTCGTCACCTGTTCTGAAAGCTGATACAGGACAGATTGTTGGGAAGCTTCCACAGAGGCGAACCTTTGCTTGGTGAAATTATCTTGGTGATAACAGTCCTGTGCGGAGAGGAAAAAGACATGTGGGTGGATTTTCAAACAGTCAGAAGAGAGAATCTTTTGTTTTCCATTTGATCTAAAGTGAGAAGTTTGCTCGGAGCTTCCAGTGTCCTTTCCATCTCATATTCCATATTCACAGGATCCCTGTGTGTACTCTGTCTGGTTCACACTGTGGCAGATATACGGCCATCCATATGGAAGATGGGACAGTGAGGGCCGGCTAATCCCCTGAAACTTCATGAACTTTGCTTTCTTTTTCTTTGCTTTCTTTATGTGAGCAGAAATCAAAGTTTAGGGGTCAGGTAGGAGGCCGGGAGTAGAGGCCTGCAGCCCCACCAAGCAGATTGCCTGCTGCTGTGCTGACTGAGAACTGCTGCACACAAAACAATAAAAAGTGTGGATTCCCGGGGCCAAGGGCCTGCGCGGTGGGCTCTGCACTCCCCGAGCAGGCCCGGGGAGAAAGGAACGGCTCAGTCAGCAAGCCGGGACCACTGGAGCGATGAAAAGATAATTCTACCCCCCCACCGCCGCTGGACCTCATGCAGCGTCAAACCATTTGTGAGCAGTGACACAGCCAGATTGGGCCGAAAGGATATGAGTGGGAAACTTCAAAACCTGCTCATGTTTCTGCGAACGTGAAAGGATTTGTATAACACATTCAGATTTGATGGACTTTCCCATGTTCACTCCGGACAGCCCTTTTTTGTTGACATGTTCAAATAATGAATCTCTTATGTGTAGGATCCCTTTTTCCCCCCCTGCTCCTGAGTCCTGTTTCTAGTTGTCGGGTAGGGATGCTGTGCGGACCATTCCATCGTCTGTCCCAAGCTTATGGAGAACCGCTGACTCGCTGGCTTCCAGGAACCAGGGTGAGTGCTTCTTCTTCTCGTAGATCTGCCTTTTACCTCATAACAACTGTCATAGCTAGAGACACTAACTGTAAACTTGGTGCAATTACTTCGTTAATTTAGCTGTTTCTCCAGGACTGAGAATCTGTATCTGTGACTGACAACGATTATGTGATAAGAGGTTTTCACAGCACAATGAGATGTGCACACAGAGATAAGCCATTATACTTTTATGAAATGACTGCACTTATCAGCACATTATCCAGCATAATTTCATACAACTTTGATGTCAAATCTGCAACTGCTCAAAGATAATTTAATCTGAAATTTGTCTGCTTTGATTTTGTTTGGCAGCCATGTGAAAGATGTTCCTCTGAAGTCAAAACTGTTACCAGATAACTGAAATATTTTGGGAAAATCTTCCCATCTGACATTAGCACACTTGCAGGAGAATATCTCATTGTTTTTCTCAGCAAAATTAATTACATTCATGCTGGAATTCACTTTCTGTTCTCCCAAGCTTTAAAGGTTATGTTTTTATGAAGTGACAGATGAAGCACCTACATTCGATTTCTAGCATTAAGTGTAAATTCTTGCTCTGTTTCAGGTGCTGAAATGGAACATATACTTTTGATTCTTTTACTCTTTACTAAGGCTTTATCAGTTGGAGCTCAATTCAATGGATACAACTGTGACTCCAATTTTCATAGCCGCTTCCCCGGTGAGGAACTGACACAGATTCACACTTTTTGTTTTAGAATTACTGGATGGAATTTACATATGATTATCTAACTACCTTCATATTCCAAAGAAAAGATAATTAATTTTTGTGATTTTAACAAAATTTTACATCATGGTTTGACTGTAATCTAACAAAATATCTTGTGTGTGTGGTGGTGGGTGGTGTGGTGTGTCTGTGTGTGTGTGTCTGTCTGTCTCACAGCGGAGAGGGACATCAGTGTGTACTGCGGCGTGCAGACCATCACCCTCAAGATCAACTTCTGCCCCGTCCTCTTTTCCGGGTACACCGACACCGACCTGGCCCTCAATGGTCGCCATGGAGATGCACACTGCCGCGGATTCATCAACAACAACACCTTTCCCACTGTTGTGATCTTTAGTATCAGCCTGGCCACCCTGGAGTCCTGTGGCAATTCCCTGGTGGTAAGAGGAAAAGGATTTTACAGTGTTACTGTCAGCATCACACTGCTGATGATGGAGTTGTTAATTAAGACCTATCTGAAATATTATCATCAATAGTGTTGGGAAAATACAATTAAAGGAGTAGATCATGTAAAGTTTCTGCAGTAATTTAGAAATAAGACACAAATCCAGCTGGATTTAATTTATTCTGAAAGGACAAATTAAACAGAATGGATTTACTCAATCACGCGTTAACTGCCAATTGAAATTAGTGCTAACAATACAAATGTAAAACACTAACAATATTAAAAAATAATAATAAAAAATATCACAATATTATACCAAAATCTCAACATTTCAAGATGCAGTACTAACCATGTATTTACCAGATATATTCAATTCAGAATAAATAGAATCACAATAAACATAATATATTCTATTATAAAAAAGTCCATTTAAATAATAAATTATATCATATCTGCATCTGATGTATTGACAGTGCTCATATCTACGGACCATTCTTATTCCCTTTATACCTTATTCAGCTGGTTCCCAACCTGGGGGTTGCCAAGGCTTTTACGGGTGTGTTGCAAGACCTTCTTGATTTTAAGGGGTGTATATATATATACTATATATATATATATATATATACCACACAGTAGGCCTAATCTCAGCATTACCAATTAATTTCTGTGAAGAAAAAGTAATGAACTTATTTTTAAAGTTTAGATTATTATTTACTATCCTGCATTTAGAAAAGTACACAGTTAAACAACCCATGGATCTTGATAAAACAATGGCAATGCATTAGGTTAGAAGTATTGTTAAAATACAGGAAAATACATAATACAGACAGAGAATCAGTAAAACTCAATTCTCTAGATCAATATTCACAGGAAATAAGCTGCTCAAAATCCATTGGTACAGGTATGCATTACAATCTGGTACAGTGCCTGGTTGCCCGGCAACAGTCAAAACGTACAACACTTTAAACAGTGGTCTTAATCAGGGTCTGGCTCATAAACCATCTCCATCATTAAAGCTGATGTAATGTAGTTTACTGTTTGGAGGAGTGGGTAAGGTGCTTAAATAGGCATGCCTCAACAGATGCTGTGTCACAAATGACTCACAGTCTTAGATGAACTCTTACAGTTATCTTTATAACATTTTGTATGGCAACTTAATACTGACTGAACCATATACATACAAACTGAAAGCTGAAAAAACTTGAAAAAACAGGCAGAAAGCCTTGCAAGCAGTGAAAGAAAGATCTGATATGTCTTTTATTTCAGGCGGCTCTCTCGTTGACAGCATCCATGTTTTTGATGAAGTTTGTGTTTATGCTGCATGGGAATTAAGTCCAGCACTCGTTATTTCAGTAAAATGGGCTCCTGTGGGATCCTGGAGGCCCTTTCAGGATGATAGAGCAAAAACAATCTTAAAACAGTTTAACCTGGAGTTAAAGCTAATCTTTGCAACTAAGCGAGCTGTCTCCCCATGTTTTTGGCTGAGTGTAGAGCCGGATGCAACTGGGACAGTTTTTGATGGTTTCCGTTCTCAGATCAAGGAGAGACTGAGTTGGGGGATTAGTGAGGTGTATTAGTAATAGCTCAGTGGCATGGCTGATTGGTATCAACCCCTGTCAGCTTGCCCACAGTGATATAATGGTGCTCGGTTAGCGAGCAGGAGGAGTGTATTACCCACCTCATGTTTGTTTGCTGCAGGTCCTCCACGGCTCAGGGGACAAACGCTTTAATGGGAAACCTGTCACGGTGCAGATGGAAACATATCAGGGTACATCGACCACACCGGATCCCCCCCACCATCATTAGCTACCCTGCCAGGTCTGCTGCTACAAGGTTTTCGCTGCATTCTACCACTGGAA